ACCCTGCCCCCACCCCCCTCTTTTTAACACTGCAAAAAGAACAGTGTTCAACAAGTTAATATATTATTCAAAAAAAAAAAAAAAAAGAGCAAATAGATAACATTAGTGAGTTTCAACATTAGCTGACTGTCGTGAGAGGTTGTATGTACGCCCTAACAGATTAGTAACTTTGCGAAGAGGCCGGCCCAATGGCCAGGCAGAGATGCCAATGTAGCCACCTGCAGCCGCCCCCAGCCCATGCTCACACTCAGCTCCCAGACCCACCCGCCGGCTCAGACAGTTCTGCAGACCGCTTTTGTAGGCAGAGCAATGGGTCCTCGGCTCTTACAGCAAAGCCCCGGGGGATCCCCGCCTCGGCTGACATCGCGAGGCCGTGGGTCCGGCCCTGGGGTTTTTGCACGTCAGCAATCCAGCAGTACAGCAATGACAGCTCAACGCGTGACTTAACGCCTGCTGCACACAGCGCTTCCAATGCATGCCTACTGCATGGGCGAGGGGAAGGGTGCAGGGGCTTTGACCGCTCGAAACAGAAGCAAACGAAAAAAAAAACAACCTTGGTGAAGCCTCCGTAAAATCCTCAGTGGAAGACTTGAGTCCTTTCAGATAACGACAAGAAAAAAAAAACAAAACTACAGAAACCTTAGAGACTGTTATTGTATAAATACTACCTATTGGCTGAATGCACTTCATTGTAACGCAACTGGGGCCGTTCCTCCTGGTTCGGGGACACCTGGGCACAGCGGTCACCACCTTGCAGGGGATGGGAGCGCTCTGGGACGTCGCCCCACCGCCGGCCGCCAGCTGCCCAGCTCAATCTTTGGACTAGAAAGAGACCCTCTCCTCAAAAATGGCTCCAGGATTCTCTCCTTTGGGCTTCTGGAAAACAAACACCGGTCTCTTAAGCAACCGAGATCATCACTGGAAACCTGTCTGGTGTGTCTGCTCCCGGCAGCGGGGAGAGGGGGCAGTGGAAGGGGCCCGAAGGCCACGTGGCCTTGGGCACAGCCCTGCTGCTGGTACTGGGCTAGGATCCCTTGTTATAAACACTTCTTGCTCAGGATTATACTCTTTGGGTTTCGTCTGGAACAGGAAGTGCTGAAAAGAAGTGGAACAGCATCCCAGAGAGAGGAAAAAACGGGAGCGAGAGGCTTCGGGCGGGATCCCCGAGGGCATCGCCAGGCCTCCCCCAAACCAGCCCTGTCCCTCGGTGCAGGCAGGAGGGACCGCGAGCCAAATCCCACAGCAGAGCCACTCTCCGAAGTGCCCGGCAGCCGCACTCGAGAACTGCTGCTCCAAGGTTTGTTTTCAGCACAGGAATAAACAGTGTGAAGCACGACTCCGCTCCCCAGAAACGGGACCCATGTAGTACGAACAGAAAATTAAGCACAGTTGTTCTTTAAGAGCCTTTTAAGTAATAATTCTTCCTGGCCAAAGCCAATACAAATCAGATCATCTAGACATGACAATTTCTATATACAAAAAACACGTAACTTTCAACCTTTCTCTGCTTTTGTATTTAAAAACTTTTTTTTTTTTTTTTTTACAAACAAGGTATGAAACTCACTGTTCAAACAGAGCCATCTCTTTTTCAAACACTGAATGAATCATTCCAACATTCATTTTTCTTTTGTGCAATTTTTAAAACATTACCTGTACTCCTCAATGTGAGTGCTTCAAAAAAAGTTTCTATTTTTAATAAGCTTCTCAAATTAGGTTTACATCAAAAAATATTCCCACAAGATATAGTGCTACAAGAAAAGATCCTATCAGTAAAGGTAACACATCTGAAGCGAGGTCGTCTATGTAAAAGAAATTGTACTCTGGAGTAGAGATGTGCAACTCGTTTGGAATTTCCCTATTGACACAAACACCAAACTGTCCTTGGGACAGGAAAACACATGGACGTGTAGGCTTATGGAATTCACACGGATTGATTCACGTGCAAACCAACGCTTCTGTCTGGCTGTGGGTACACGTATGCAGATCTGCACTGACCCATCCTCATTTTTCTGTTTATTTTCGGGACTTCGGAGGGGCCAGGCGGGTAAACCAGGAAAGGAAATGGCTGACTGCACTCTGGAGATGTTCACCCCTCTGCTCTCACATCAGCACCGGCCAGAGAGCACTGATAGGCTCTGCTGGTACCTGCGGTGACGGGGAGGGAAGAGAAGTAAACCAGCTGTCCGAGTGCATGTCCCATTTCACCGCATGGAGCCCCTGGGCTGACCTCTCCGTCAGTGTGTGTCCGAGTGCCAGCAGGGCCAGGGCCCAGGCGCTGCGCCGAGAGCCCCTCTCTGAAGTAACACTATTAGTGTTTAAAACGGAGAGGATCCGCTCTCCTCGCTTTTGTTTTTAGCAGTATCAAGCCTGAAGCGAATTTCGCCGTTTCCGTTTTAATATTGGCAACACGCTTAAAGTGAAACAAATCTCTGCACGGAGTGAATTTTCATGATAACCAACAGCGACAGTTCGCGCTGAGCCTGCTGCTTTTGTATTGCGATATCTACAAAGTCAAAGTCATGAGATGCGGGAAATCCAAACTCGTCGGTGACGTTGTACGTCCCTACTCCAGAGCAGTAAAAGTGCTGCTTCTGGTCACATCAGTGTACCACACATATGCCAGCCCCATCCCTGAGTAAAAGGTGTGAAAAATTTCTAAATGTTCCTTGATTGAGGGAAACGAGAGCAGTGATGTCACTTCCCCAGCGCTGAGAAAATGACAAACAGCGGCCGAAGAACGCGGCAGCGGGACGAGGGACCTGAAGGAGTCAGAGGAGCGTCCCCGTCCCGACGTCGGGTTCGTCGGGGGAAAAATCCCAACAGCGACATACAAAACTGTGAAGCAGGTCAACAGCAACGCCAATTCGGGCTTCAGCTGTAGGACTTGAGGTAAGTGACATCAAACTCAAATTCCCCGCGATGTGGCCCAGACAAACTGAAACAATGCCTAAGTTAAACACTATAAGGAACAGTCGTTTTATATATAGAGATATATAGATAGATTAGATAGATAGATAGATAGATAGACAGATAGATATTTTTAGAAATCCCTATAAAGAGGTTCTCGTTTTATTTTCTTTGCCCTGACTAATTTCTCGGTGATTGTATGCATTTCATTGTAAACTAAACAGGCCTGCTACAAAAAGGAGGAGAAGAAAAGAAAAAAGAGACCCAAAGAAAAAGACAACCACTGCAGCCCGTGCCGCGGGCGTGAGGCCGGAGCCAGAGGCACCCCACAGCTGGGAGCAGGGTCTCATGTGCGCAAAATCCCCTTTCCCCTCCCCTCCCCGACCCCCCCAAAAATAACAACCCCCAAACTCCTCTCTCGGTGGTTGTGGGGTGAGCTTGGGTTCAGCTTTTCTTCCTGGATCTTTTTTTTTTTCCCCGTTACACTGCGGAGGCCAGAGGCATGCATTTCAAACACACGGGGCTGCGGCAGGCCCGTGATTCACTCCACGCACACTGAACACAAAAGGGGTCGGTGAGCCCTGGGTGCAGGGACACCCGGCCCTCGATTCGCTGCTTTCTAGGGGGAGGGAGTTATTAGCAGGAAAAGAAGGAAGGAAGGAAGGAACTATTCAAGAGAACAGAAAGGGGAAACCAGAAGAGGGTATGAGATCTAGCTAACACCACACAGGTGAGTCTACGTTGGCACGTAAAGTATTGCACATCCTACAAAAGCCAAAGCACGGAAAGGGACAGCTGTTTGGAAAGAACCAGTTATTTCAGAATTCCTCAGTCTGAAATACAAGCACAGAACTAATACATTCCTATTGCTCCAAACTTCATTTTTTTTTATTAGTTTTCTGGTTTTTTTTTTTAGTGTTAGTTGAATAGACCCAGTCAGTTCAATAGCCCCCGCTTCCTCATCGACCACAATCGTGAATGCGCGTGGTTCTCGTGGAGATTTTTTCCCAGTACGTGTGAATGACAGAAATAGTGGTACGGATGCCAAGTAACATCTGCGATTCTTTCTATTCCTTTACCATCGAAGCTCAAAAACGAAACAGGAAACGAAATGAAACAATAAATTGCAAGTGCCCTGAGCAGAGTATATGGAAGATTAAGCAACTTCTCTGAGCAGAAATATTACTAAGAAGCACTACCTAAGCTGCGTGACTGTGAGAAGAAACCCGCTCAGCTGTTTGTAGCCCGCTGAGAGGTTAATAAAATTCAAGGAAATTCAAGAATAGTTTCAAGCTATTTTAAACATATTTCAACTTTTTGGTGCACCCCAGAATATGGTATAAAAACAATGAGTTCTGGTGTGAGCTAAATTTCAAGTAACACATAACAGAGTCAAAGCTGGGGTTTGGGGTTAATCTTTCTTTTCTTAAATAAAAGCATTGCATTTTAGGGGAGAGGGAAAACGAGATTTTAAATAGGCTCGTTTGCTTTAGATACTGTATTTCTAATATCCAGAACTTTGATTTCCTTTCCTCCCCATCAGTACGGCTTCTTTAAAACTACCTGAAGGCGGGAACTCACCAACTGAAGAAATGATGTGAATGCTCAACCTTGCAGGGCCCAAGCCAGACCCCACAGGAAGCAGTGGGGTCCTCCCTCCGTTGGCCCCAGGCGCCAAGCATCTCGTGTGAGCGGCTGGCTGTGCAGCCCTAACGGGGAGCTGAGCAGCTCCTTCTGTACCAAACTCCTGAATCTAGTCGTCCGATGGGAAATGAGGCAATGAAAAGAACAAAAGATCGTAAGAGGAAAAATAACATTCGGCTTGTTTTTTTTTTTATATATATATAAAAAAACAACAAACAAACGCCTTGCTTACGTATAGAAATGTTTCTCATGGAAACCTCTCAGCAAGTCTGAAGACAAATTCTCAGAGCTGTCCCGGTAGGACCTGGTTCTGTGTGGCAGATATGGCGGAGACCAAAATGGACTGGGAAAGGAACGAAACCCTATGAAACGGCCTAGAGCCAGGCAGGTTAGTGAGTCATTGCTACATTTGTTTATGCTCTTTCAGACACCCTCCCCCCCACCCCACAACATTATTAGGTAAAAACTGCAGGAATACCACACAAATGATAAACTCAAGATGTGCAAATTGCAAGATTCTTTAAAGTCCATCTTTTTCAAAAACACTGGACAAAGTTTTTTTTTTTCTCTTTCCTTTCTCCTCTCTCTTATTTGTTTATTATCTGTCAGCTCGCATACGCCTTTAACTCATTCTCAAGCATTAAAGTTTAAAAAGTGCCTCCTATTAAGTAGTCCTTTGTGGACAATGACTGTCACATACTAGTTCAATAATTCACATTCATCCCTTTGAAACCACATGGAAACTTTCAGCGCCTTGCCTGTGAGAAAACTTTTCAGAGTCGCGTGTAGTTACAGTGTTGAAGAGATTCGTTTGTTTGCTGCTGCTGCCTTCCGAGCAGATCAAAGTGAGATACAGTACGCACTGAGCGTTAGACCAGGATGCTCAGCCATAAAGTGTGAACAGCATTTTAAGTGCTTAAAGACATTCTACGTTCCTCTTCAACATCGGGTTCCTGTGTCACACTGAAACTTGAAAAAAGTGGCACCGGTTGTCCATAATCATGAACCAAAAACAGTACTATAGAGTTAAAGACCGAGATCTGCAACCTAACTGCAAACGACGTGTGCCTGTGATCTCAAAGGGGCAGTATGCATCTCCCTTGTGGAAGCAAATGTCCATGGCATAACCTGACCGATGCGTCTAACACTGCACAGAAACAGGAGCGAGCCTGAGCCGGGCACATCGCCCAGCCTGAGGCTCCCTGCACCCACACACACCTGCGCACACTCACACACAGCCATGCCACCAGGCAGCCCTGCAGGGTGAATGGTGCAGAACAGCCACCCCGTGTGTGTGTGTGTGTGTGTGTGTGTGTGTGTGCATGGCCTCTGGCAACGAACTGCACGAGCAAGCAGAAGGAAATGTTGGTGTGGCAGTTGCTTCGCGAGTAAAAATCAGTGCAGTCGGACCCCATGGGGGAAATATATATGTACAGATACACACACACACACAAATATATATATATACATATATATATATACATGCACATATATGTGTACATATATATACTATGAATCTTGAGTAAGAGTTGGCTTATTGTTGACAAGGTCAGAGAGCATCTGATCCTTTTTGGTAACATCTGTGGGGCTGTGTCCTCCACATTCACCCGGGGTGAGAAAAACCTCCTCACGAGCCCCCACTGCTGCAGGGCTGCCTCAGGCTGAGCACGCACACCACGCGTGACACATGCACAGCACACATGACACGCACACCACGCGTGACACATGCACAGCACACATGACACGCACACCACGCGTGACACACGCCTCTGCTACAGTTCCCTTCTCCGCACCTCCCCCCCAAAAAACTGGAACAGGAACCAAAACAAGGGAAAAAAAAAAAAACAAAAAACAAAAACAAAAAACAACAACAAAAAAAACCCCAACAGAATCACAGCTGGACCCTGTCCTACACGAGGTGTTAGAAAACAGGAGCCATGACAACACATTCATTTCCACTAAGGGTGTGTGAAGCAGATACTGCCCCTTCTGTAGCTCTCAGGAAACCTAGTCACTGACAAACACTTGTGGAAAAACATATGCACCAGTCTCCTGCATAATACCAGCTGCAACTATAACAACAAGGTTATAACATAAACCTAAAATAAGATGATAACATGTAAATACTGGGTTATTTAGTCTACAGTACAGTAATCTGGATAAAAATGACAAGGGATAGCCTAATTTCCTTTCCCCAAACAACATTTACTTTCCTACATTGGATCGACCTTCAATGCAAATCTTAACCTCCTGAGGAATAAAAGAAGGCTTGGGAAGAGTCAAAGGTGGCTCCTCTTCTGATTTCTCTAGTTTCCGCGATTCGGGGGCTGACCACCTTCTCTTCCTTGTTGCCGGGGGCTTGCTGGGTTCTGTTTTGGTGAGCAAAGGTGCTGCAGGCAATCCTATTTTGTCCGGAAACTTCAGTTCACCATTCTCAGCTAACATCTGTGCACTTCCCTGATTAATCCCATTTTCCTGCTCCGCATACCTGTGTCTACTTCCAGCTAGACTGTCATTCTTTGAATGCTTCAGCAAGATGCTAGCTGAGTCCACGGGCTGGCCCTTTTTAATAGAGCCGTTCTTCAGGTTCTTGAGCGTAAGCGATATGCAGACGTCCCCCACTGACAGTTTGGAGCATGGCAAATCAAAGAGCTGGCTGGTTCTCTCAGGGCAGCAGGATGACCAGCCTTGTCCAAATACAAAAAAAGGGTATTCTACCAAGACCTCCACGCTGACCTGCAGAAAGAGGAGACAGCAGAGAGAGAGGGAGAGAGGAGAGAGTGTCAGACGGGCCCTTTGCCTTGGTGCACATGCGCAGCGGCCAGCAGTTGTCACTGGTGAGAGTCAAGCAGGGATTGTGCCGCTGCCATTTGGTTTCTGTGAAATCTGCACATGGCGCACCAGACTTTAGGCTTGTCCTTGTCAGATGGGTGTTAACTCTCTGACGGGTGTTGACTCCCTGAGTTCAGCACTTAACACAAAACCTCAACAGGAATCGATCTTTACCTCTATCCAGCTGCTCACAGGAACCCAGCAGGCAAAACAGCTTTGGCAGCTAACAAATTCTGCTCCCTGCCGTGCCCTCGTGGTACCTCAGCCTCTAGCCCATGCTTGCCAATACGTTCCAGCCAGAGGATGGCTCCCTTAGCTGGAAGAGGTTCTATTCCCAGCTCCAACATGTGATTCCCTAAATGACCACGGGAATGTCACCTCTCCTTCTTGGCCTCTGCCCACGCAGCTGCGTACTTACCAACATGAAATGGCTGAAGATGTTGATTTACAAGGAAAGGCCACAGGTGTGCGCAGAGCTGTGTCTGTAGCAGCAGTGATTATTACCTATGAAAAGCATCTTTCTTGATTTCACTGCTCAGTCCAGCCCTGTCAGTCCTCACTTCACCCCACTTTCAAAACAGGCATGGCTCTGGGTCACACCTCACCACCATACAGGCAGCTGTGATATCCAGGAGAGCAGACCAGCAGCAGGTGCCTGCCGCTCCATGACCCTGCTCACAGTGGATCACAGGGCTAACGTGATACAGCACCCAAATACCCTCTGATCTTTGTGCCGTGCCTGTCCGTGGGCTCAGACAGTGGATGTGGGCTCCTCTGACTCATGGCCTACAGGACAGAGCCTAACGCATCCCGAGGGCTCCTGGTTAGCAGCACCTGGTAGCTCTGCTCCCCTCCCCACTGCTGCCGCTCCTCCAGAAGCACCCGCCTGCAAACAGGACCCCAGGCAGCTCCCTGTGCACCTCACCCAATGGTTCATCACCCCCCTTGGCAGGAGGGCTGGATGTGGGATGTCCCATAGAGCAGAACCATCAGATCATGAACGTCAAACATTCCTCGTGGCTTTTGACTGATTAAACCCACACTCTGCCCTAGCAGACAACTGCAATTCATGAGACAGGTCATTCCACTGATGGAAAAAAAAAAACAAAAAACCCTTTAAAAAAATCTATAAATATATGCTACAATCTTATATGACCGGGCCAATCGATCAATTGTCTTGATGCTCCACCTGTCCAATATAGAAACATCTGCCCCAAGTTTGAGATCCTATTCCAAAGACATCTCTTCTGGATTTAAATGGAACCCGCTGTCCAAACAGAGCTGTAGGCCTTCCTAATGAATGCAGATTTCTCGTTTACTTGCTATAGTTTTTCTCTTCCTCTTCTCCTTCCTGTTTGCTATATATTTTTTTTCCTTTTTATACTTTCGCCACCCCATCAAAAGCAATGTGTATTATGGGTATCATCCATGCCTTACATGCATACTGAGTGCATTACACTCAGTAACACACAAGTTCCTCTTGATGCGAACATGCTTGCACAGCTTGCAGTGCTTCTGTTTTACATGGCATATAAAACACATGCCTGAACTGTGAGTCCCAGAAACAAACAGCCACTTTGGTGGTGGTGATCATGAACAGTGCTAAATAATAAAGATGATGACCAATGCCAGAATCTCCATGACCCAGTCATAGTGCTCATGGGCATCTATTGATCCGGAATGTGTTTCCTCATTCGCTATTAAGCACTGTTCTAGCTAGCTGGATGTAGCTCTGGGCAGCCTGTTCTGGTGGCTGGTGGCCCTGCACATAGCAGGGAGGTTGAAACGAGATGATCATTGTGGTCCTTTTCAATCCAGGCCATTCTATGATTCTATGATTTGATTCTAGCTATGTGTGGATTCTGCCCAACTGACTTCTAACATCACCATTCTCTACTAGTGATAGCAGTCAAAGAACTTTAAGTGTGAAAGTTCAGAAGAAACACCTCCCCCATCATTCTCTCCTGGCACGAGAGAAGTTAATTCCAAAAGCTTCTTCTCCTGATATCCTGACATCGTTATTGTAAGGGTCAAAGAAATTTGGAATTCCTTTCTGTGCCTTTCTGGCTACTAAGACAATAAAGCAAGAAACCAAAACACTGGCCCCTCTTCAAGCACCCGGGGCTCTGCTGTCAAGTTACTTTTCCCAATGACCAGTGAGAGCACCCAAAACTTTTCAGTGCATTCAATGAATATCTCACTTTCCTATGCCCCTTTATTGCATGATGTCTCGGCCACGCTCAGCTGATGGAGAGCACTTCAGACTGCTCAGGAAGCAAAGGCTGGAGCTGGAGCACCGCTGACACATGGAGCGCAGGAGGAGCTGGTGCACAGGGAATAACATTCCCACTCTTCAGATACAGTGTCTTCACAGAAGAACACGGAAATTTGCATTACAGGGCCCACTGCAGCAACCACTGAGACAAGTGCTAAAGCAAAGGGTGCCCAGTAGAAGTAAGGATTTGGACGTTCTCATGTCCAGGAACACAACACAAAGATCACATAAGGGAGGAGTGGGAGAGACCTCCACCTGCTGCAGTGAACAGGCCAGCACTTCTGTTTCTGTGCCTGTGTCTGTGCCAAAGGTCAAGAAAAGGGGAGAGATGAGCGAAAGAAAAAGTGAATGGTTTGTGTGTGCAGAGATATATCAGGGAAACTGGATGTCAGTCTAAAAAAGGTGCACCAAACTGACACCTCTAACTAGAGGTGGGCTTCTCCACCTCTTACATCTATTATTCTGTTTTTGAAAGAAAAGCTAAGTTAAGACCCAAATGCTCATCTTTTCTTTTGAGGTTGTACTTTAGAAACGATTAGGAGCTGAAGCTCAGGGATGAAAGTGAGCATTTCAGAGAACAACTTCTACATCTCCAGTGTGTTGTAACCTTAACACAAATGGACGTGCATTGCTGCCTTCTGCTTGTTCCTTGCAGCAAAAGAGAGGACAGGTAACGAGCATGTATGTGTCATTGTAAGGGTAAGATGTGGAATTAGAAAGAGATGCAGATCCACAGCGCTTTTTTAGGCAACGCAAATCCAAGGGGAATAACAGCTGGACTTTGGGTTCTCATCCATTTGGTACTTGCTTCACTTCTCATCCATCTGCAGCAGAGATGCTGTGAATCACATTTCTCAGGGCTAAGGACAGCTGTTTCACTGAAGAAGCATGTGGGTTTAGGTGGGTTCATTCTCTTCTGCTCTTCCACACCTGGCAGAGGATGGGAATAGCAAGGCACCCGGCGGAGGGGGAGTGGGAGGATGGCCTCCTTCTGCCCTAGGCCTTTGCTAGGAAGGAGCAGCGGTGATGTGGTACAATAGCAACTGCATGCTGCCTCCCTGTGTGCGTGAGAGTTGTATACGCTCAGCTAAAAATAACCTCCTACTGCTGTCCCTCAGTCAGGGTGGAAATTAGCTCATGTTTGCATCGAGTCTGAAAAGATGAGTTCATCAGCATTCTGATGGCTTCCCAGAGATTGCTGGGAGGAGCATTTAAATGAACGGAAGCTAATGGTAACAAGGCTATTTTGGTACGGCACTTAGTCGTTACAACTCACGTCCCCCTGATAACACCATTCTAAAAGGTCCCTCTGTACAGAAGTGTATCTGCAAGAGAAACTGACTTTAATAAAGTATGTTGGGAAGCTGAACTACGCATGCACTGCATTCTCACTGCACTTGGGAATCAACACGGATCTGAGCGCAGCAGCACCACAGAGCCACTGCCCTGAGCAGCCAGACTGAACAGCCTTTTTTCAATGGGAAGAAGACTAAGCCTTCCTCACATGAGCAATTCTCTAACGTGTAATGAGTGCCACATGCCTGTTAATAAGGCTAAATGCCTTCCTACAGCCACGCTAGGCTGAGGGCAAGGTCACAAATGTAGAAACACTTCCCTCTCTCCAGCCAGGCATGGGAAAACCTGCACGGCTGTCCCTGTGTGCGGGGACACAGCTGATCTGGGAAGGGACCCAAGCCCTGGGATCTGCAGGAAACCGAAATTAAACCCTCACGCTAATGATATCTCTGCGTGACTCTCCCTCGCTTCAGTTCTGGAAGCATCCCCCGTGGGAAACACAGCTGGGGAGTATTTCAGCTGCGATGATGTCAGCCTGCTTCTGATAGGCTTCTGGATAAGGTGACACTTTGCTGGATGAGCCCGGCGCGCGCGTCTGTGCAGCCTCGGACCCAGCATGCATTCTGCCAGAGGATGGCAGTCCGCCCTCTGCAAAGGACTGCACCGTGCCAGCACATCCACCAGCCCATCACACACAACGCTACCTGCTGGCACAGAGACCAGGCTCTGCTGCAGGGAGAGAAATGAGAGCGAGGTGACCACTGCGGAGGGCAGACCGCTGCTTCTGAAATCTCACCACTCAAGGCACCGGGGCAAATCACAGGAACTGGTTCTGATCCAAGCACAGGCTCCTACTGATGGGGCCTGTGGTATGCAGCTCTCACTGAGAGAGCCACGATACGGCTCAGAGATGAAAAACAATCAGTCCTTATCCCGAAGGCATCCAAGGCCCTAAGCTGATTTTTCTATCAGGCCAGTGGGTGATGCACACACATCTAGAGACAAAATACATGGGGAATCTGCACAACTGACATGATGCATGGCTGTGTCACATGCATTGGTTCCCCCATCATCTGTGTAGTTTAGGAAGGATAGGACACTGACTTGGAGTTGGACTCGACGATCGTTGTGAGTCCCTTCCAACTCAGGCTGTTCTGTGATTCTATGAGAACAAGAATTCTGTGTGCGTGCTTTAATTCTCAGAATCAGATCTCTTTGCTTTTCATACTCCAAACTGTCAGTCACAGGTGCTTTCCTGCATTCCCTTCCAGTTCCCCTCTCCCTCTGGGCATCCACCTCTGAGGATGCAGCATCAGGGTGCTGCCCTTTGTAGCACTTGTGTTCCAAACCAAACCCAAAACACTTGAAACAAAGTTACTTTAAACGAGCATCTCTAGGGATCATAATACCCCTTTCATCTAATCTGCCCCAGCCTCAATAGAACAGCACCTCAATTGCTCAGAAAATGAACAGTAGTAAGATACTGCTTTACGATCAGTTACCATCTTATTGTAAGAGTTACTTTGGAAAGTTACAGGATTTTTCCTGTCCTGGAAACCAGTGAGATACAAAGTTCAGAAGCACAGCCTGCCCGGCCACCTCAATGGTTTTTCTTTCCAAACTTCCCTTGAACACACAGTTTATGTGAGCTGTGCAGTGTTTAAACCATCCGCAGCTGAAGCCTTGGTACAACTCTGTAGTGTTTCAGTAACTTACGTGTGTGAGTGGATGTGTTCCCAGACAGCTCCAAGCTGTCTCTCAGCCATGGAAATTCACAGCCTTGTGCCCAACCTCTTGCTCAAGGCTAGGATTTGTGCTGAATCTAGCCCGAGCTTTCTGGAGTGTATGGTCGAAATCACCTCTGAGAATGCAAAACAGCCCCTGATACTGCTCAACTTATTTTGTATTTTAGTAAAAACCCACAAAGATCATGCAATTTCTCCTACGGGTTCTTGAGCTATAAAATACAGCAGAATTTATACCAAATCCTGACCAGGCAATGAAGACCTTGGGGTAGGCCCATGGGTGGCAGCGGATCCACCCATGTGCCTTGGCTCTGACAGTGACACACTGTATGACTGTACTTTGGCAAATCTCTTTCTGCCCAGTGTCTTGGTTTGCCCCTAATCTCAGACTGGTTTTTCATGATGTCAGGACAGGTTTTTTTCCTCACTGTGTGTTTGAGCAGTGCTGCGTGCACACAGGCTGGGGCCTCAGGTGGTACTGCCTTGAGTACTATGACATTGCTGGGATTTCCTGTGCTGATCATACCCAGCGAGCATGTAAATGCTTCCCTTGGACTAATAAAGGCACTGAGAGTCATCCCATAGCATTTTAACCTGGGTGTAAGACAAGAGGGCAGACTGGTCCCTCAGGAAGTCATAGACATCCCATTTTATATCCAAGAAGCTACACCTGTCATCAGTGTGACCCTGATGGCTTCACTAGCACTGTGAGACAGGTGGTTTTGGGGCCAGAGCCAGCCTTACAGAGGGATGTGAAGGTTGAAAAACTACCCTGGGCAGATCTGAAGCAGTTGGGGCACACTGAGGTGCCCCTGTTACTCTCCCAACTCCCCACCCCGTGTCGCTGTTACCTGTGCTCGATGCTCTCCAACCGCAAACTGTATCACAGCAATGCCTGGGTTATGGCTCTCTTCGATCCTCTCCACAGTGCTGGAGTCTATTTTCAGGTCATTGCTAATTTCCGCGCTCTGTATGAAGTCTTCTGTTTTTAAGTCCTCTACTTTCTTCAGCTCCCCGTTGGCCAGCTGGATGATTGACCCCTTCATGAAGTAAGGGGGCAGCGTGGGGGGGGCCGCAGCGGGGGATGCGATGGACTGCACCACGGGGAGGTGGATCTGCGCCTGCACCATGGTGGCCTGGTAGGCGGGCTGGGTGGTGTGGGGCTCGGCGCTGAAAGCCTCGCTCTTGGGGACAGCGGTGGTGACAAACGTGTGAGGCACTGCTGCGAACTGGGGAGACGAGGTGACAATGGCCGGCGCGACGCCCGACGGCTCGACGTCGGCGCTGCCGACCGGTATGAGCAGGGGCTGCGTGCCAGGGATCACCAGGTGCTGGGGCAGCCCCCCAGGGTACCCCAGCGCTTGCTGCTGGCTGCTCAGGTAGCCGATCACCGGCGGCTGGGTCCCGGCATAGAAGGCTGTGGCCGGCAGCCCCACCGGGAGCTGCTCGGAGGCGCTGTGGGTCGTCTGGATGACGGTGTGGGGGGACAGCGTGGCCACGGCCTTCACCCCCTCATGGCCCAGGGCCTGCTGTGGGGACAAAGCATAAGAGCGGTGGGTTGGCTTTCCTAAGTGCAAGCTTCCCTTGTCGTTGAGGGCTGAGGGAGAGTTCTCTCGATTGGTGGCCTGCTGCACCTCCAAGTCCGCGGTTGGCGTGCTGCTGTTGGGGACCACCATGACGGAGGCTCGGACCCCTGAGGACTCCCGGGCACCGTAGTCGGCAGGGCCCGAGTGCACCACCACGTGCCTGGTCTCATAATGGTGAGGAGCTGGTTTATTGCCTGCTTTGACCAGACCCATGTCGGCAGAGGGCGAAATGCCGTACCTCCGGCTCTTCTCTATCTCGCCGTTCAGCACCTCCTTGGCCTGCATGGCCTGCAGCCGGCCGCTCTCAGGCTTCTTGGGGGCATCCCTTGTGACAAAGTGCGAGGCATCACTGTACTGCACCACAACCTGGGAGGAGGGGCCAAGGGTGAGTGTGTGGGGGATCACCGTCTGGTGGGGATGCAGGGGGACCGGGATGGTTGGAGGAGAGACGTTTCTGACCGCGCTCTGGGGAGAGCTGGAGATGTGGACGTACTGGTTCTGCTGGGCAGGTGGAGGAGACCCTGCAGCGATCAGTCCAGGCGTTCTAACCAGGTGCGGCTCGACTTTGTGCCCCTGCTGGCTTAAGCCGCTCATGCTGGCCAGCAACGTGGAATAAGCCTCCAGCTGGGAGCGCTGGGATGGAGTGGTCGCGACAGCTGTGGCCGCCGCCACGGCGCCGGTTGCCGAATTGGCGGTCGGAGAGATCAGCTGCGAGGGGATGAACCCTGCATATGGTCCGCTGTACTGGGGCCCGACAAACTGGAACGTGTGCTGCAGGTGCGTGTACTGCACAGGGGAGACGGGGGTCCCGGACTGGGACAGTGCGGACGAGTACACGGTGGGGAGCGTAGTGGGGGCCGGCACCGACCTGGGCGCGCTCGGTGGGGAATAGTCCAGCCCTGCCGGCGGCGGCTTGTGCAGGCCCTGCTGCAAGCCCACCTCCGCCGACGTTCCCCCGGGCCTGTGCCTGCCCCCGAGGCTGCTCTGACTGCCGGGGAGCCATGCTAGGTTGTCCGTGCGGTGGTTGTCATTCGGCAGGACCGGCTTCACCTCCGAAGGCAGGCTGGTGGCGGGGATCTCTCGCTTCTTGGGCGGCAGGCATTCATTGCTCCGCTCTTGGTTGGATTTCATCTTTCGCCGTCCCCCCTCCACTGTGCTTGCTTCACTGTCTGGCTGGCTCTGATTTCAGTCTGATAAATGGAAAGTCACATTTGATTTCTGCAAGGGATCCAGTGACTTCATGAGGAATCATCTCCCCGTGAGCACGATTCTCCAACGGCTCCTCTGGATTCTGCAACGAAAGGGTGGGTGAGGGAGGGCGAAATCACAATGTCAGCACTGGGGAATGGGGACAAAAAACCTGACATCTCAAACCAGCACTTAAGAAAAAAGGTGGAATGCCAACTCAGCTGGTCACTGTTGCTCTCATCCCAAGGAGCAGTGGACAGCTGTGCTGTAAAACAGCAGCTAAGATTCTGCGCACATCTGTTAGCACATTCTGAAAACAATTCGAACTTCAGGCAGGTCGGAAACTCTCTGACACCATAAGGTGTCAGATTTATCTCCCTGTGACTCAGAGGCTCACTTCCTTCCCACTGTACCTTCAAGGTTCACCCTTCCATTCTTTCCTTTCCCTGCAACAACAGCATTGCATTCACACTACCATGTCCTAAAACGCCTGGGAACCTCCGGTGACCTCCTGCACAATATTTGCATAGCAGCTGGAAGCTGTGCATGGAGTGGAGGGAAGGTGGCTACTGCAGAGCCCTCAAATGCAGCACTGCTGCTGGACCAAGGAGGCTGTGGGCAGCCCAAAGACGCTCCAGGAAGGAGAAGGTAAAGCTGAGCAAACTCCATCCCCTGAGGTGTTTGAGGCCCTGGGCAGCCTGATCTGATGGGTGGCAATCCTCCCCATGATAAAGGTTTGGAACTAGATGATCTTTAAGGTCTGTTCCAACCCAAGCCGTTCTGTGATTCTATGACTCTACAAACTTGGCCCCAGAGATGCCTCATTTGGGAAAGCGCATCCATGTCTTCCTGACCCCAACTGAGAGCCCCCACAGTGGTAAAAGCTCAGGATATTGTAGGGGTTGGAGCAAAACCATCTATCTGCTCTGCATCACATTCACCCACCCCAAGTCAAGAAGGGCAAAGTCAGGTCCTTACTCCATATTATAGGGAAAACATCATAACTGAATCATATCACACTTTGAAAGAAAACCTGACAGCCCTCCCCTACCTGCCTGACAGCAGCAATACACTTTAGGGAAAGGGACAGTTCCCAGACACTGTCCCTGGCTTTCTAGATGTGCTTCTGGCTGCCCGGAAGGAGCTGCGAGCACGGGTGCTTATACTTGACAGGCATTCTTGCAAGAAAAGTGTGCATTATGTGAAAGAAAAAGGGAGAAAGAAGATGGAAATCGGATATGAGCCACTTAATGCCGAGCAACAGAAATGATAACTATCTCATGGCAAATAATATTCCTTTGGGAGATTTCCATTCCTATTGCCTCACTCCTAATGAACAACAAGCCTGATGTCTGTAAGTGCACACAGCGCTTTGAAGACATACCAGGTTAAGGTGAAACCTATCTTTAAGAGCATTCTTTACAACTGTGGTTCTCCAACCTGCCATAATTCATCAGAAGCCCAAAGCATCCAATGGTTTGATACAATTTGTCTCAAGTTATTTTTTCCATATGTTAAAAACAGAGCTAACAGCAATAGCCACAGAGACCCTACAAAAACAGCCTGTGGTTTTGCCTTCACCCACTCCACAGGTGTCGCAGATCAGCGCTGGATTGAACCTCAGGTTGAGAAACCAGAGAAACATGAGCTGTAGGTTTGGGACCAGGCTGCCGAAAGGACCTACATTCTGGGGCAGATTCTCAGCATTCGGACAGAGGGAGGACAGAAGGAAGTTCACCTGAACTTGGGGCAGCCTCCTGAGAGAAAGAGCCAGTGATACCCAGAGCTCTGGTCTGCTTTGACCCCTCGGGCATGGGCAGCCGGGAGCAGGCCCTGCCACCAGCACAGGCCTTCCCCTCCTCCTCGCAATTGCTCGCTGCGTCTTGGCAACAGCTGAAATTATTATCTTACACATGACTTACGGATTTTTATTTTTATGTGCGACTAAAAATAAAATCGCCGAGCTCACATTTGCGCAGTCATCCTTAGTTAAGTTTAGCTCACTGTAGCCTCCCGCCCGGGGCGGTCAGGCTGGTGGATCAGTCAGCAGTTCAGGGCTGGGCAGCTGAAAGGGAGCCTGAGCGTGGGGCTGAGCACGGCCAGCTCCTTTGGCAGTGGTGGATGAGCCAGCCAGCCCCACACCAGTCATTGCAACAGGTGGAGGCACACGGATTCCGATTTTTCCACATCAAAACTGCTAGTACAGAGCTGCGTGACACCCGGGGAAGCTTTGCTTTGTGGGAGCGGAAGCAAAGGTTTTTTTCTGATGAATAGGACGGAACCGACGAGTTCTGGGTAGTCCCCAAAGCCAATGCTGACGTTCTTCAAGAATACCATGAGCTAATTCTTCCATTTTTTTCTTTTGCGAGTCTTTCATACGGCTCTTTTCATCATCACGGGTGACAAAAGGGCTACCCCACATCTCCCACAGAGCACAGGAGGAATGAGCAAGCCTAATGGAGGCAGAGGAGGAGGCAGCTGTGATGGCTGCCCCACTTTTCCAAGCCCCACTACCTCATGGTTCCACTTTGAACTCCAACAGACACAGGATGGGATGTGCAGAAATGCAAATGTGCAGCAGAAAGCAGCCTATCTCTGCTCCAAGACTTAAAAGTGAAGTGGTAAGTTTTCAGCATAATTCCAGTTCCAGCAGCAGCAGCAAAGATAACACAGGCCTGACTGTGCTCTGCAAGCAAGATTAAAGCGCCTCCAAGGCAAGAGGTACAGGGCATGGTTAAATGCTTCCTAGCTGGCTGCCCCAGAAAAATGAACACTGCCCTCTGAGGTATGACACGCAGTTTATTATTTGTGTGCTTTTTGGGGGGATCCGAGTTGTTTTTCTGACTCTGGAGATTTCCCTTCTCTCTAATTTCAGAGCTGTCGATCGTGACTTGCAAGATATGCAGAACAGCAGCTAGCACCAGGAGATTTTTTGCTCCCGCTTTGTGTATGTGCTGCACAAGAGTGTGCGTGCATGCGTGTGCAATTATGGCTTGGAAAGTAAAGAGGACAAAGAGATCAGGGACAGCAGCTGGACTTCGGTATCTCTGGCAGCTCGTACACAGGGAGCATTGCTAAAGTGTCTGCATAGTCCTTGTCCGCTGGCAGCCTGCCCACACAAATTCCTGGAAAGGCTTAAGGCAGAAAAATAATCACTCGGAGGAGTCACCATCTGGGTGTACTCTGGTCCCGGAGGCATTGCTTGCTGGAGCTCAGGATGTGCATTTCTCGTGCACAGCTCCAGCGTGCCTCCGCAACGCACTTCAAACCTCACTACACCTCCCAGAACGCTATTTTTCGATTTATTTCATCTAATGAATCTAAAAGCCAAGAGAGGATACTGGATTAGAGCCTGAAGGGCTGGCCACCTTTATCACCTTTATCCAACACAGCACTGGGTCTCCCCTCTGTCAGGCAACAGCACCCTGCCTGGCAAGGCTCCAGCAATGAAATGCTCACAGCGTACACCCGAACACCATTCCCCTGAATGACACCCGGCACATGGCTCTGTGCCTGCTGTGTTTCTGCAGGGGATGACAGTGTGGGCTCACACTCCTGCCCCATGCCTCCCGCTCGCCCCACTCCGACATGACAAGTGGGCAACGTCAGCATCACCAACTGTCAGAGGAAAGGAAAGGCACTCAGCCCTTCATCCCCTCCTCTGCACACTGAGGAGCTGGGCACCTCCAGGACTGACAGAGGCTACAAGGCAAGGGATGCAGAGCGCTCTGCAGCTGCACATTTCTGGCAGTAGCCTCTCAGGATTGCATTAGCCCTGCCATACGCATCTCAGTCAACAACAGCTACAGAAGTTCCTTAACTGACCCCACCGATTTCATGGCTCTCTGGCAGATTTCCCAGAAGGGCCAACTGGAGAGAGCCATTAATAAGGAACATGAAAACCTCTAACAAAATTTGAAATTCCCCTCCCCAAACCAAAGGATTCCTTATCAACACTGCATCTACAAGACAGACTGTCCTCTGCAGTGCTACCTCTTATTATGCTTCTGGGAATCCACCTCAGCAAATTGCTACAGGTTTCTGCAGAGCGAGCAGCTATTTTGCGCGTTCTTCTTCTCCTCAGTGGGATCAGAGAACCTCTGGACAATACAAAGAGTGACTGACAGTGACCTCAATGACCCAATCACTGGGCTCCTCCACCCAGCTCCGTGACAGCTTCCACACACATGCAGCACGATGCAGCAGGTGGCCTGAGCTGCCCTAGCCAACAACTGCAGCATCCCTTACTCCACGTTTCTTCCAAAGGAGTCCCTATCAGAGGCAAGCCCTCATCCTCCAGCATGTGCTGCAGATGTCAGCACCCTGGTGCTAAGCATGAGCAAATGGGCAGGCTGGTACTGGAAGCGAGGCTGTGTTTGCTCCTCATGCCATGACCCTGCCCGCAGCAGGGTTGCCATTGGAGAGCACAGAAATCCCCTGCCTTGTGGAGTCCAACCCTGGCACTTATAAACCATGAGTCAGAGCCCCTTCATGCTCCTGAAACTTGTGGTACAGAAAGAGGTACTGGCTCAGAAAGAGACGATTTCTTAACGTGATAGAGGTAGAGGGATTTTTGCCCTTTTCATGACAATTTTAGCTTGCCCTTCTGTTGGGAGAGGCCCTTCAGTCTCGAGGCCTCTAGCTTCTCACTGCAAGACCACAAGACCAGAAATGTATTATTTTAGATAAAAGTGGAATTTCCCATTTTGTTATCTGACATCAGGAACTGGAGTTTTGCAAGGCAGTGTGAGGTATCCCAGGGCCAGTGACAAATCTGCAAGAGCTGACAATGCTGATTACAGAGCAGTTTCTTTGAGGGTGAAGCACCAGCCTCCAGAGCTCTCTGCTGCTGGGGAGGGAGGAAGAAAAAGATGTAACCTGTGCAGGAGGGCAGAGCCAAGCGTGTAAGTGTGTACAACTTCACAGCTGGCCCTCTTGGAGCTGTATAGCAGAAGTGCACATCAGTTAGCCAAGGAAAAGCACGTCTCTGGAGCTACAAGGGGAAGACTTGAGTTTGTAGTTGGGCTGCTTATGTCCTGGGTTTCAATTTGGGCAGAACACAAAAAATGGTCTGACATGACACGGGCACGTGCTTCAGCAGTG